CTCTCCCCCTCTCTCTATGTGTGTGTGTGTGTGTGTGTGTGTGTGTAGGCCAAAAGAGGCTGTCAAGTCTCTTGAGTTGGACTTACAAGCATGTTGTGAGACCCCATCATGGATGCTGAGAACCAAACTTGGGTCTTCTGCAAGAGCAGTAAGCATTCTTACCTGTTGACCCATCTCCACCCCGTTTCCTTTTCCTTTGTTTTCTATGATGCAGGAGCCTCTGTTCACAAGGAAATGGCATCCTAAGACACAGTCACACTTAAAGATTGTTATGTCAGGTTTGATGAGGTGGTAGAGACGGATGACTGAACAGGAGGGCACAGTTTCATGACAGCAACTTGTTTACCTCTTGTCTGTGCCATTGCCAAATATGAACATTATCATCACAATAAATTAAGAGATGTGGGTTAAGTCCTAATATTTATGTTAGTTTAGGAAACATTCTGCCTAAGAAACACTCACAGGTTCCTAAGAAAGAAACCCTTGGATGGAGAACAGGACCCTGCCTTGCGTCGTATTCAGCTTTGCAAACTGCTCTTTACTCATTAGGTTTCCTATAACTGTTCTATTATCACTAGTATCATGTGATGCCTCGAGCAAGCCTGGGATTCTGAGCTGCTGAGTACCCCGTGTGGCGTACCTCTGGGCTGAAGAATCTAGAAAACCCCTACTTTTTCATGGCTCTCAAACTTTAAGCTCTCTGTACAGCCCGTCATGTAAATTTGCCACCAATTCCCACCATTCCTGTGGACACCAGGGCAGTCTTTCTGCTGTGGTCAAAGCTGAGAGAGAAGCCATGACTTAATGATAGTCCCGGAGAAGCTGAGGATGAAGCAGATGTCCCAGCTGCCTGAACTAGCCCAGCCCCAGTTCCCAGAAGCCCCTTCTCCAACTGAGCCGGTTTCTGGGCTTAGCTGACCATACGCCAGCACTTAGGGGCTCTGAGAATGCTGCCCCTCTTCCCCACAGGTGGAGACTGACTCTTATTCCCTCTGGATGCAAATGTTTCCTTCAAATATGGCCTCATATGTTACCTGTAAAATAGTTCCATAGCGCAGTAATAAGTTGATTTAAGTATGGATCAGGTATGTTTATTTTTCTACAAATAGAAAGGTAAGGGTCTATTTGACAGGAAAAAGAAATATATTTCATATTTTGATATTCTTTTACAAGTCAAAACAGGTCTATATTTTAAAGGAATTTCTTAATAGCAGATCAGAATTGTTTGAGGAATGGGGAAAAATTCCTCTAACAAGGAAATTTATTTTATTTTCAAGTTTCAAAAAGGTTGAATTTAATTATAGATGGCAGCAAAGAGCAGAAAAAGGAACCTTGAAAGTTGTCCTGAGAGGGGAAAACTAAGATAACATTTTCTGAAAGGAGAATATTGTCATGTAACTTTATGAAAATGAGAATATCAAAAGGGAAGGAAGATCTGGGGCTATACCTCAGTGGGAGAGCCTATGCTCCATGTGCAAGATCCTGGGTGGAGGAGGAGAGGGGGAGTGAGGGTGAGGAGGGGGTGAGGAGGAGAAGGAGGGTGAGGAGGAGGAGAGTGAGGAGAAGTAGGAGGGTGAGGAGACGAAGGCGGAGGGTGAGGAGGGGAAGGAGGTAGGTAAGGAGGAGGAGGAGGAAGAGAAAAATTCTCTTGGCAGTGATGACAATTGGGGCACATTACCCCAAAATGTGGCATCTCAGCACCTGAGCAAATAGAATCAGGAAGGTCATTGTGACCTTGTCCTGCTATTCCCACAGACAGACTGCAATTAGAGCAAATGAGACCTTCCATAAATTGGTTGTAAGACCTTATTATGATCTCAGAGGAGAGGGATATCCTTGGGACTCAGGAAAACCTGAGCATGCAGGCCTTCCAGGTCCTTCCAAGTTGCTGTCATGAAGCTGTGCCCTCCTGTTCAGTCATCTGTCTCTACCACCTCATCAAACCTTACATAACAATATTTAAGTGTGACTGTGTCTTAGGATGCCATTTCCTTGTGAACAGAGGCTCCTGCATCATAGAAAACAGACATTATAAGTAAATGTGTACATCTTTCTCTTGTTGCTCTGTCTTTTGTTACAGGGATCATAGCCACAAACCTGGTGATGAGCCAGGAAAGGAGACTCTGTCTTTTCTACAGTGGTACTTTTTGACTCCACCTAGAAACCCTTTCTTCTTAAAGTTCGGACAATCATAAAAATGATTTTTGGAAAACACGTGCTAATAGGGACTGTATGAAGAGAACATGCCTCCTCCAGATAGAAACATAAGAATCAGCCACCAGCGACACCACACCTCAGATGAGACTTTTCAAAGCCGAGTACAAATACATGCAATGGACTTGAAATTATTCTAACAGTAATCCTAACATTTATAATTATGGCATTCACTAGAGCAGCTATCTAACAGGAGCATGTATTTTGTTTTTGCATACAAAAACCACAAAGCAGACATTGAATATGGGTTAGAAAAATAACATTAAAAGTATGAATGTAAGGAAAAGCAAAGAAATGAGGTATAAATTATATATCGTTTGTTACTTACAAGACTATTATTGGTGGCCAGAAAAAATGGAGACTTACCGGTGGGCCCTGAACAATTCTACTATTGGTGAAAAGAGGGTTGACGATGCTTTGTTCTCTTCTTTTGTTCTGTAGGTATTATTACTTGGCATTCCGAGCACATCAAACACCTCCGGCTAACAAAGAGAGCTGTGTTGCTATCTTGGAAAAGTCCAGATTAGATCACTGGGTCCTGGGGAAAACAAAGGTAGCTCTCTCTCTCTCTTTATAATTCCGACTGTCATCTGGGATGCTTTCCTGTCACTGACAGCTAGCACAAATGGCTTTGTACCTGGCATACCATAGCAGGCAAGACTCCAACCTAAAGAGGGACAGTCTTTGCTGGCCTTAACTCAGAAGTCTGGGGGTGTACAAGGCGGAGGTGGAGGGTTTATACGTGGCTCTGTAATTCGAGAACCTTTTAGCATCTCTAGAAAGAGATCTTTGAAAGCGCTTTACCAGGTCCCCCGTCCATACTTCATGATCTAGCACACATGCTAACACATAAATCATAGTATCAGCAGCCATGAGCTCCCTTTTGCCCACTTTTGTGTTAGACGTGTGCTATTTAATGCGTACTCTGATTTTAGTTTCATCACGTGTAGATTTTCATTTGAGGAAACATCATATCCCTTTAGGAGAGCAGGTTTTTATGGCTAATTCTGCAAGGCCAGTTTCAGTCTGCGTGTAGCTTTTCTCTACAGGAAATCCAGCTGCTGGGGGTCACCCAGGTCTCTTGGCTTCCAGACTATCAGCTGGCTTCAGATTGGACCTGAGCACCTCCATCACAGGTTATGAGGAGCCACGAGGGCAGAGCTGGTCTGAGAAAATAGAACCCCTGGTGGTTGGGAGGCAGTCCCAGACAGCACCTGGAGGATTGTCTAAACCCTGCAACCTCATTTTAGATAGGGGATTGTGTTTGCCAGAGATAATGAATACACTTTATGCTTAAGTTAAATCACGATGAACTTTACTTAGACAACGGCTTTAATATTTGCAATAAAAGTGGAGTCATGATTTTGGTTTGAAGCCCGAACGTAATGCTAAAACAATGCTTCTGTTCAGGTTTTCCTCAAATATTACCATGTCGAGCAATTAAATTTGCTTCTGCGAGAAGTCATGGGCCGAGTGGTCATGCTGCAGGCATATACCAAGGGCTGGCTCGGAGCAAGGAGATACAAGAGAGCCAAAGAGAAGAGAGACAAGGGTGCCATAACCATCCAGTCAGGTAAGTGGTGTGGTTCTGACCAGGGCCACTCCTCACCATTTGAGTGGTTGGGTCACTCACCTTGGGCTTCCCCTTTCGATGTCTCCCTTCCTCCCCTTACTTCGTCAAATATCTGTCACGCACCTATACAAGTCAAGCCTCATAATAGCTGGGAATGGAGTGAAAGGAAGCTCTCTGTGATCTCTGATCTCAAAGATAGACATTCAACCCTTATAACACCCTGGTGGTGGGGAGACAGAGCAGTATGAGCTGACCAAAGGTGGAAAACTCCATCACTCTGCATGTGCCCGCCTCCCAAGATGACTGAGGTCATGTGCACTTCAGAGTGCTATTGAGATTGTACCATCACAATGGCTAGCACCAACCTAGTAGGGTTTTGTAGCACAGCTGAGACTGAGAAACAAAGGAAACAAGCCTCTAGGCTTTTTCGGAGCCCGCTGATACCTCTGTCTATGTGCATCTGTGATGCATGCTGAGATCCATACCTGACTCTCATGCTCCTGAGGAGCGGTTACAAAGTGACAGAAATGCACAAGATGAATTTTCTGGCACTCTTATAACAAGAAACCATAGCATGCTTTGGGCCTCATGAGTATTTTCAGAGATGCTCAGGCCAATGTGGGGACACAGACAACAGCCTCTCATCTTGGGATGGAGGCTTTGTGCATCACCTCTATCTGAAAGATGTCAGAGTCTCTCTCCCCCAGGCCCTGACCACCAGCTTTAACCCCTGTGCCCAAGGCAGGACTTTTTCCTTTCTTGGGATAACAGGAAACCACCTCATCTGGGACCAGGGGCTCCTGCTATTACTAAATAAAACTCAAAATGTTCTGGGAAAGCCTGATTTAAAAAAATGGTTCCTCAGAAGTATTTTGAAAACTTGACCAAGAGTTCAGAAAGGCCCTTCCTCCACTGTAGTTCATCTGCTGGCTCTGATTTTCCTCAGGGAGAAGGCAGGGTGCGGGTGGGGGATGAGAGACACAGATCGGAGGTAGAACAGCTTCTATCAATTCTCTGGCACGCTTTTAAATTAATGTCATTGCCAGCACATGGTTTTATATTTTTAGCCTGGAGAGGATATGACGCTCGGAGGAAATTTAAGCAAACAAGCCACAGGAGGAGTGAGTCTGTGCTTCATATTCAAGCAGGTAATTAAAGCATCAGTTTTTGCTGTGTCCACTTGAAATGTTCTGTGATCCCATTCAAATGAGTTCAGAGGAGCCGAAAGGCTAATGACTGAGGAACATTGGGGTGAGCCAAGAGTTCTGGGGTGTGTGTGAGGGTGAGGATCTCATCTTCCTAGAACCTTTCTGGCTGGGATCATGAGGCACTATTCACCTTCACCAGGAGCCAGACTTGCTAATAATGTCCTCAGGAAGAGTTCTTATTCTCCTAGTACAATAGAAGAGGAAACTGAGGCACAGAAAGGAAAAGTAACTTATCTGTTACCACAACGCTAGCAGCAGAGCTCCCTTTGAAATATAGGCAGTTTAACTCCTTCAGTCCCTTCTCCAACTCCTCATCAGGGACCTCTGCACTCAGTCCAGTGGTTGACTATGTCAGGCTCTGGCAGAGCCTCTCAGGAGACAGTCATATCAGACTCCCATCAGCAAGCGTTTCCCAGCATCCACAATATCGTCTGGGTGTGGTGACTGTATATGGGATGGATCCCCAGGTGGGGCAGTCTCTGGAGCTAAGGGGGTTTGCAGCCCCATGTAGGGAGCAACAGTGTCAACCAGCCCAGAGCTCACGGGGACTGGACCACCAACCAAAGAGTACACATGGAGGGACCCATAGCTCTGGCCTTGTATGTGGCAGAGGATGGCCTTGTTGGATATCAGGGAGGAGCGGCCCTTAGTACTGTGGGGATTCGATGCCCCAGTGTAGAGTAATGCCAAGACAGGAAGATGGGAGTGGGTGGGTGGGTGGGGGAGCATCCTCATAGAGGCAGGGGAAGGGTGTATGGGATAGGGGGTTTCTGGAGGGGCTACCCTGAGAGGGGATAACATTTGAAATGTAAATAAACTATCCAATAAAAAAAAATCTTAAAAAAAAAAAAGAAATATAGGCAGTTTGGACTGAGCACATTTGACTCGATGCTTGCTACTGGACAAGTCTCTTTTCTTCTTGGAGTTGTAAGTGAAGGTTTTCACATGCGCAGCTTGGACAGATCACAGCAGACTAGACGGTTCCATGTGGGGAGGTTTATTAAGAGAGTGGGGAGGAGAGAGAGAGAAGAGTAGAGCAGGTAGAGGCCGGCCATGACCACGTGGAGAGAGGGGGAAGGAAAGGGGGAAGGGGAGACGGCAACCTGCAGGCGCAGGGTTGAGGGGCCAAGAGAGAGAGGAGGGGCCAAGCAGCCCCTTTTATAGTGGGCAGGGCTACCTGCCTGTTGCCAGGTAACTGTGGGGAGGACCATACCTGGCTGTTGCCAGGTGACTGTGGAGGTGGAGTTTAACAGATTACTAACATTCCCACGTTTTGGTTTAATTAAAAAGAAAAATTAGAAAGAGGTGATGGCGAAGCAGGAATCGGGTCGTCGTGAAATCTGGCTACTTCCTGCTGGCTTTGGGGGTGACGTGTCTCTAGGGGGAACCTAGAAGAATGGGAGATGTTTGTCTGGTCTTAGGAGAACTGGCTGTTTTCTGACGTCCAGGGTCTATGGAGCCATCTGAGGATAGGCCAGAAGGAGCAGGTCTAGTAGAAGCAGCTGTGTGTGTGGCAGGAGATGGAACATCTGAAGGTTGCTTCTCTGGAGCTGTATTGGATATAGCTGGACTTGACAAGATGCAGGAAATAAGATTAAGAACACTTGGAGAAAGATTTTTTTCTAAGATGTACATTCGAAACCCAGAGGGATCCCACCCTTTGTAATAGATAGTGAGTGGGACCTTTATTTATCTGTATGGCATCTATTTGGTCCATGAGAAGTAGATCTGAGTGGGTTTCCTGTAGCTTATAAGTTTACAAAAGAGATAACAGCCATGAGTTAACAACACAAGCAGTCTTTCAACTGAATTTAGGTAATGAGGTAACAGATAATATCTGTGAAAACTTAGCTGTCAATGTAGTCAGAAGTCTGATAAAGAGTAAACAACAATCTACCAGTTATATATTATTTTTAAAAAAATGACAGAGTCCACTAGCCAACAGTTCCCGTGGTTTCCATAATCTCTTGGGCGAAGTCAGTCTCACTTCTAAGCGCAGAAGACGCAGGGCTTTTTTCTGTGGAATGGATACTCGTGACATGAGAAATGACTTACCTTGTTTTAGCCAAGTCATTTGACTCAGGGTATCCAGTTGTATTTGTCCACACACAATCCAGGCTGTATGTTCTAGGAGTCCGGTGTCCGTCTTCTGAAACCATCTTGGGTTAACTGTTAGAGGCTTTGGGAATTCTGTCAGCCATAAGCTTAAAAATACTATCAGCAGACTTCTGACAAGATTGAGAGCCATAAGGATTGGTTGTAACTGAATAGAATAATAGCAGTAGTAAAAATCTATCAAGACAGAGCCTTTCTTATCCTGTCTTAAGTAAGTTTGGCATGTTGTGTAGGTAGAGAAAAGCACATTTTTGTATTGGCATAGAAACATTTTTGTTAAGAAAGCTGGATTGTATGTATGGCTGTCACAGGTTGGAGCTGTGAGTCACAGTTGCTGTAGGCGGGTCAGGTCTGCGGGGGCCGGCAGCACAGCTGCAGGGTGGGTCTTCCTGCTGGCAGCCGGAAGTTGTTGCCCAGTGACTCTGGCGGCTGCATTTAGGAAAAGTAAGCATGTCCCGTATCACTGCAACAGTTAGTTGTTTTTGTAGTGGAAGGCACCGCTAGCACTCATTTTACAGGTCCCAGGTGGCAGGATGTAAGGGGACAACACAGAGCAGAGCTAAGAACCATAGAGGGAAGGGACGAGGGAAACTGGCTGACCAATCGCAGGAGACAAGGGGAGCTACCTGGGCCCTGGACCCGCTAGCTTTCCAGGCAAGGTGCTGGGACTGAGGTTCCAGTTGACCCGCAAATGATGAAGGAGGAGGAAAGGGAAAAGGGCTCGAAAGACTGGCCCTTGGAAGAGACACCTGGGGACTATGGTCAGAGCCGGTGCTCCTGAGGCAAAGAAAACAGTCTGTCCAGGCCTGGCCTGGGCTACTCAGTGGCGAGAAACTGTCTTGAGAGGAAGAGGGGAAGTGTCTCATCCAAGGGGAGCCATCCTAGAGAGGTTCAGGGAAGGACAGAGTTCAGGGAAGGACACTCTAGCTCAAGGAATCTTCCCTGGGACTATGTGGAGGGTTACTCTGGCCAGTGGGGGATGGGGAAGCTTACCAGTTCTAGGTTAGTGTGTGGAACCTGCAGACATCCGCTAGAGTCACAGTAATTCCCCCATTTTGGCTTAATTAAAAAGAAAAATTAGAAAGGAGTGTGGGGCAGAACCTTGGGTGGGGAGCAGGCAGAACACATGGAAAGGGGTATAGGGAATTTTTCCAGTTATCAGACTGCTGGCAGTATGTGTCTGTGGGTACGGACGAAGACAATGTATTGCCCATCGAGTGAGTTAGTTACCAATCTGTTAGTTCAGCGTCTTGAAATAACGCTTGGCAACAGAAATCAGTCACTGCTTATAATAATCGGGCTGTCGCGTGCAATCAAATAAGGGCCTCGGCCGGGCTAACCCACCAGAAGTTAGCCAGTCAGGATTAGCTCGACTGGTACCAGTTTTCTGTGGGGCTGCAAGAGCTGGGGAGGGGTTATGAGCTATTTCTGAGAGGGGGAAAGACCACCCAACGGGCCAATGTCTTAAGTCGAAGATCAGCTAGAGGCCATATGGACTGGGGCCATGAAAAGTCAAACCCTTAGTCCAGGAAGCGCTGGCCAGGCGCTAACCCAGTGTTCAGGGTCCCTCAAGCCGAGCGGAAACTCCTTGCCAATTAATCGATGTCTGTTTGTGAGTTTGTGCAGTCTGATATCAGGAAATGTGGAACGGGGGTCTACATGCCTGTCCTGGTACCCGGCCCATGTGGCAGAGTACCACACGGGCGGCCACAGCAGCTCAGCTCATATGGTGGAAGTTTGACGAGCCTTGCAGCAGCAGCAGCAGCATGGGACGGGGGTTGTAGCAGCGGATGTTAATTCACCCGCTCGGTGGTGGCGGGTAGCAGCAGATGAAGTCTGAGTGGTCATTGTGTCCATCTTGTATGGTTGCAGCAGCTGAGGTCCCTGAAGTCTTCGTATCCTGGGTTTCGGCACCAATAAAAGGTCACATGCAGCTTGGACAGATCACAGCAGACTAGATGGTTCCACGAGGGGAGGTTTATTAAGAGAGAGGGAGAGCAGGAGAGAGAGAAGAGTAGAAAGAGTAGAGAAGTGGAGGAGTGGAGCCGGCCATGACCACGTGGAGAGAAGGGGAAAGGAAGAGGGGAGGGGAGAGGACAACCTACAGGTGCTGGGTCAAGAAGACAAGAGAGAGAGGAGGGGCCAAGCAGCCCCTTTTTAGTGGGCAGGGCTACCTGCCTGTTGCCAGGTAACTATGAGAGGAGCATACCTGGCTGTTGCCAGGTGACTGTGGAGGTGGAGTTTAACAGATTACTAACAGTAGGTCCCTCATCAGTGAAGTGAGAGCAACCTCCTTTAAAGGTGCGTAATGATTTGTAAGGCCTGCCTGATTCTCAATGTCACAGAGGAGGGGTGACCTGGGGTCCCGATATCCATGACTGTGTGTATGGCTAGTGTAATCTTCTGGGCCAGGGCATGGGGAAAGCACACAGTGGATCTCAGGGCTCATCTTGCCCTTGGCAGCTCGAGAGCTGGAAGCTCTGCTTGCTGGTTCATGAACCCACTCCCTGGCTCTGAGGTCACTGCAAATGGCAGCTGCCGGGCTCTCTTCCTCATGTGAAGCTGCAAATCCCTAATTGAGGTTCTGGAAGAAACAGGATCTTGACCATGCTGAGAGTTCCAGGAGTGCAGGGAACTATCAACAGAATGAGAGTGGAGTTCAGTGCCACACTGGGGGAGAGAGGGCTTCCGAGGCCACTCCTTCAGTCAGACAGCTATGATCCTCTCCAGCAGGCCCGGGCCAGAGCCAAGCTCTGGGGGGTCCTTCTCAGAATTCTTAGGCCATGGTGGAGGCCAGGCATCTTCACTAGGATATTTTGGAAGTA